ATATATATAATAATATATATATAACACACATATATATATATATATATATATATATATATATATGTATATATATATATATATATACTACATACATGCGGCTGTGTATATATTCAATAGAGCTACACCAAATATCGAATTAGGCTACAGCACAACACTACCGGATACACATAATTCTTGGCAAGCAAGTATCGCTAACCTGTACACGAGATGATTCTGTATCACTCTTCCACTTCAATACATCCTTCTCGGCCACCTCGAACTTCATCATCATCTCCTGCAGTGTTTGGGTGCCATCCTTCTTCTCCTGGCGTAGTTTCTCACCACTGTCTCTCAAGTTATTGATTTCACACGTGCTTTTGGCGAGTTTGGTCTGTAGGTCATCGATTGCTGATAGGGAGAACAAACCGCGTTGAGCACAGTGTGCGTCGCTGGACAGAGTGAGTTACTTGTCGCTGAATACCTATACAGACGGAACCGTCGGACTGCATGCTAGAACCAATAGCTCAATACGGTACCCAATTTGAGGCTTAAAAACATGTGCCAGCGTACATATGTGCCAGTATTATTCAGTGTAGATCAACTATTCGCCTACTCTCGAATACATACGCAAACGAGTGTATGGATCTGTACTTCTAGGCATATATCAGCCCATGCATGTATGTCCCTGTGTATACGGGCGTTTAAAGACATTTGCGTTGATTTCCATAAACATGAAACGTATGTGCACGTATATACAAATATGTTCTAATAGGAAAGAATACATGCACACAGTTACAAGACACTCATATACCTCTATTGAAATACCTATACTACATATCAAATCAAAGCCATTTGAATGTACCTTGATAGATGCAGACGAAAGCACAAAAAATATACCTAAACATCAACAAAAATACTTCGTTCCCCAAGTCCGACGTGCACTTGAACTTACACGCAGTTCGATATAGTCGACGTGACATCGATAGTTTGCGTACTCATGTGGACCCAAAAGGCGCTCATTGAGCCTACACAAACACATAGAGAATGTGTGTTTGATTGGCGG